CCAAGTATTTAGCGTAACTCCATCAGCTGTTTGCTGTAAACACACCGCTGCCCGCTGCCTGCTATTTCCGAGCAATACATTTAATGCTGTTGTACAATCTCAGGCCGACATCGGCGAGACTAGTGTTGCTATCTGTTGATTGTGATTTATTGGTTTGGTCAGTAGTAGAAAAAAAAGGTCTCTACAGGTTCCTAGTTCTGCAGTATAGTTCCTTTGGTCGGAACGCAGCTTAAAACAAAACATGCTGGGCATATTTGAAATGGCTGCAGTGACAGCAAGTCAGTAGGTGCGTTTGACTTCATGCGGCGCTGCGCAGCGTTGATTTAACGTGATGCTTGCTGGATATAAAACAAGGCATGCTGGTTAAGAATTGTGTCCAACTTTTGTCAGCGCTGCAAAACTTCACCATGTCACATGACATTGAAACCTCGAGGGAGCAAGGCGGCTGCAGATGCAGAGTCCAGTGACTGCAGGTGCTTTTCTCAACTGGAACCACCTTTTGCGTGATCTCACGCAGGTAGAATATTGCTATGGCAACCAGCAGCGCTTGTAGAAGCAGCAGCCGGTAGCTCATTCAAACTTTGCAACACTTTATTGCCAAAACATTTGTCACCTCTGACATAAATACAGTCATTGGAAGATGAAGACGGGGTTTTTGGATTAAAGAGTAGCAGAACACGATCCACCTGGCCCCACCCCCCAGGTGCCATGGGACACAAAATGGGACTCATGTGAACCAAGAAACAGAATTCAAAGACTGTTGTGCCCACATCGTTACCAGCCCCGTCAACATCTCGGATCAAGCACTTGGCAGGTGGTCCAACTTAAAAAAATGCACTGTGGAATGTTCGGACACAATTGAGGTTGCATTTAAAAAGATTCCATATGTGGTCTAACGCTGATACAGATCGGAGCTTTTTAAATGCGACCTCATTCTGGACACTCAGGTCGGAATTGGTTCGAATTTGTCACTCTAGAGCAGCTGTTGTCACATTTCTGCTGTAGACGGAGCCGCAGTGAATGAAAAAGCTTCACAAAAGCCATTAAACATGTGGCTCTCTTCCTCCTCTACCTCGCTGTCATTTGCTCATAAATTCCTCTCTGCTGAGTTATTTGCATGCTATTGTCCGAGAGTGAGGGAGTTGTGGGGCAGTTGTGGGGCAGTTGCGTTACAGCGCAAGAAACCGTAATGAAATGAACAGAAAGTTGTGAGCACTTCTCATAATTTAGCAGAATTGTGACCCGTGAGAGGACAATGAAAAACGGGAGACTCCCTATACAGTAAAATGCAGGGAGAGCAGGATGATTGAACACAGGTGACACACATTAGGGCAGGTATTAACAATCAACAACGAAACAAAAAGACGGGAAACAAAGACGACAGCACACACTAGGAAGGACACTTTTATCAAAATAAAAACAGGTAATAACTCAAACTAATACAACAACTTCTTTCACCAGGGAATCAGAGTGAGCTGATTGGTTGCGTCCAGGCCGTAACTTCAGGTTGTTTTCACAGTACATTTGCATAAAGTTGACATTTTCTTAACTTGCTCACATTGTGCTGCTGGATGACTTTTGTGTCCTTGAGTGGTGGTGAGTGGCACTAAAGTGTTTTTTTGTAGTTCGATTCATGAATGGCATCCTGATGCATCTTGAGCATTTGAGTCGTTATCTGTGAACAGGTTTTTGGCAGGAAAACAACGAGAGGGCATCTGTCAACACAAAGGGGTTTCAGTTACTTGGAGAAAATAGAAAGTGCTGTCTTTTTCCGGATGGGACTCTCTTCCCCACTGTCTTTGCTGCTGACAAATAAAGTTCTGCCGCCATGAAGTTTAGTGCCAAAGCATCATCCGCTCTGACTCATCATGCTGTTTTAACACACGGCTCTATAAATAAGGACGATCACTACACTGCACATTTTCAGCCTGGGTGGATCCGCAGGGAGCTGAACCCTGGCAGACTGAATCACTGCTCTGAGAGGAGGACAGGACGACGGGTCTGTCTGCTGGATGAAGTTTTTACAGCTTTGCATGTGATGAGGTACAAACCACAGATGAAACTGGAAGATTGTTACATCTCACACACACAAGCAGCTCCTCTGATGGGATTACTACGGGACGTCATGAAAATTTAATCAGAAATCACTTCCTGCAGGTTAATCTGTCAAACAGAAAGGACACAAGGCACCTGGATTAATCCTGAAGGTGACCTGGAGAGGATTTTTTGAAAATACCTGAGACTGAACTGAACAATGTGGTTCTGTAGATTCAAATTATAGATCCAGGATAAAGCTGCTTCATTAAAGTTGCTTGTTTGATCTGTCAGAAAGTCTATAGATCACTGAATTAGAGAATTGGATCCTGATATTGGGGGGGGGGGGTTGTTACACGTCAAACCACACTAATGGACGCTGGTGTGTGTTGGTCTTTACTGTCCACAGAGCAAAGTTCGATCAAATCAAATCAAATCAATCGATCCTTCAACCCAGAGGAAGATCTGAAGAAAGATTTCCATGGTTCAGACGACTCAAAATGGGGACTGTTAACAACGCAAGAACAAGAGGATTTTTAGTTTGTTGTCTTTTTAAATTGTCCTCACCCCCACATTCATGGTGTCCTTGTTTCAGCACAAACTCAGATGTAACTCTGATTTATCATTTTGTCAGTTTAACAACATGTATAGCTGTTGTCAGTGGAGAAAAATCACATGTAAAAATGTTCTAAAAATGTAACTAACTTCTGTGACGGTTAAGGTTAGGGTAAGTTGGGGGGGCAGTCAACTGCTTAAATACAAACATCGCTAGTGACCGGAAACGCTAGTAGTGCTTCCAGTCACCCCATGGCGTCATATACACACGCGGCCTGGATGCGGCTCGCACGCACGAACCTGGGGGCGTATCCTACACACGCAAAATGTGGGCACATAAACACACTAAATATGACATCCTGACAACAAGGAACACATATCAGCTGACTAAATTTACTTCACGCTGGCTCCTCACAAGGACAAAGAAACTATAAATTTACGTTTCATAATTCACGACACATTACGTGTGTGACATGATGTTTTTATAATGATAGTTAATAATCTTATTAAATGTAGTTATTTGCTCTGTTTGTCTGTCATAGTCATCCAATCACTGACCTACGGACATGACATCTCTCTCTCTTACACACACACACACACACACACACACACATACACACAAAACACACACACACACAACATATGCCACAATTCTGGCATCATCCTTGGAAATAAATGGAAGTAACTGGAGGCAAGGTTGAAGCGTAGGAGGGCCAGCAGAAATGTGCATTTGTGTATGCATCTAAGTGTGTTTGTGTGTGTGTGTGTGTGTGTGTTTGAGTGTGCGTCTCCTAGCAACCAACACACTTCACTCTCTGCCTGTGTTGAGCCGACAGAGCAGAGCTGCAGCGCTCTGAGGAATCTGTACTGACATTCAACAGGTGTGTCAAACTCTGGGTACTTCTGTCTGCATCTCTATGACAGACAGACAAGCAGGCAGGTAGACAGAGATGCTAAAGTTCAAATATCAGACAGGACAGCAAATCTTCCGTACAGTCTCACAATGCATTCATATTAATTGATGGATCCGTCCCATCATGGTTGTTTTCAGTTGACGCAGCTGTGCAGCTGCAAACATCTCCAGCACGCTGTCTCTGGCCATTTTTCTGTCACAGTTTTTCTGGCTGTGACTTAGGAAGACGCTGTCCTTGTTCTTAACACCGCCTACATCGCTCTGCTTGGCTCGGTTGTTTCTTCTAACAGGGGGAAACAGTGGAAACATCAGACCTTGCTGAACAAATCAGAGATGTGGGCAGCGATTCAGAGGCTACAAGCAACCTCCTGGTGGCGCTGCACTATAGAAAAGGTCAAGAGCTTACAGAACATCATTCATCAGGAAACGCATTTCTTCCTTTGTCCACCCTTCCACTCTGCAAATATCATCTCTCCGTCCTTCAACATGTCCATTTGTGTTTTAATCATTTATTTTTAAACTTTTCTATCTGTTTTTCTGTTCTATTTAATCCACCTTCTTTCTAGTGATCCATCCAGATCAGAGTCATAGCTGCCACTATTTTAACTTTTAGGCCAAATAAAATAAAAATGCATCATTTCTCCACCAGAATATTATTTACTTTAACTTACAAATTAAGCATGCATGGAAGAACTGTGTAATCAGTAGGCCACTAATTATTGGGGAAAAGTGTTTCAGAACTTTTTATATTTTCCCAGTAGAGACAAAGTTCTGAGACTTTTATTTGAGTTTGGCTGGTTGAGATTTTAAACAGAAGGAATTTTCTCAAATGAACCATTTAAATAAAACCTGCAGAAAATTTAATTGAACACCAAACCAGTCTGGGGAGTCGGAGGGTGGGAGGTGTCGGAGGACTACAGTGGCTACGGCTCTGATCCAGAACTCTGTTCTTGGGTTCTTTTTAAGATTAAGTTGAGTTTTTAATGTTGTAAGCCTTCAATTTTAAATAACATTTAAAAGTGAAAAAATCACCCAAAAGAATGAATTAAAAACAAGTTTCACTCTTGAAGATCTGCAGTTTATTTAACATAATATTCACAAGGAAAAACAAGTATAAGCATCAAAAAAGAATCAGAATCAGCTTTAGCCAGGTATGTGTTCACATTGTTCTCGATGTGCATACACAGAAAAGGCATAAACAAACAGAACAGCAGCTTAACAGGAACAGACACAAACTACAGTGTCCAGTACATGAACACACTCACCCATAAACAAAAAAACATTTGTAGACAGAAAGACAATAGTGTATTTACAATAATATGTCAGTATTTACATGTGGAAGTGAAACTCACTTTTTCAAATTAGATTGAAGACTTCAAATGAAACCAACTGCACCTCAGCTCCTACATCTCTCCCTTCATCCATCATCCACCAGTCCAGGAGGCTTTCCTCCCTCCTCCTCCTCCTCTCCAGCCACTGTTGACGTCCATGGCTCTGTCACCCGCATCACCGGTTTCCACGCTGCTCTCTGGTCTAGTCATGTAGTCATTATGGCTCTTGTAATTCCCTCTGTCTTCACACTCTGTCTCTGTTTGTGTCTACACGGTCTTCTGCGCATTTTCTCTTAGTTTTGTTGTAGTTAATCAGTCGTCTTTCTGTCGGAAACTCTTGTTTTTGCGCTTTTCTGAAGCTTTGGGGATTTCCGCGCGTCCGAGCGCCCCGCACCTCTCCACGTTTTAAATCCCTCTGGTTGCTCCACCTGGACCTGTCGGCTCCCGCTCCGCCGTTAATTCCCCCATTTAATCACCCGTGCGGTCATCTATCATCGCCGTGACTCCTAATTGTTTCTTGGCAGAGTGGAAACCGCCGGGGAAAAGGCTCATATGAGTGCGCCTCCGCTGATCCGTGCGCCCAGCCCGCTCCCGTTCTCAGGGGGGACAAACAACACTAGCACCGGCGCCGGGGGAGGAGGAGGAGGTGGCGTTGGTGGCGATGTGATCTCCTTCCACATCCAGATCGGTTTGAGCCGGGAGCCGGTACTGCTGGACGCCGCAGATCTCAGCCTCAGTCAAGTCCGGGAGGTGGCGTGCTCCATCGTGGACCAGAAGGTAACCAAGAGTGTAAACCAAGTCCGCATCAGACCCTATAACTCCTGCAAAAGTCCTAATAATGTGCCAAAAGTTATAATACTTCCATGATGCTTACAGTGTTGAATACTGATGGTAATTTGATCAAACACATCAGTTTAGGAGTATGCATCATGAGCACAAAATCTGAATTAACAAAGGTAAACTAGATTTTGCACTTGAAAGCTTTTAAAGACAGGACGTGTTGTCCATCCAAAGGACACTCAAAAATCTAATTTAGTTTACAGTCTGACTGAATGATATGAGTAAACTTTGTTGTGTCACTTTTCCAACGTGAACACATGATTTCCTAAAAACCTCAGAACCAATATCTACGATGGAACTGGGACTTGACCACAGTGAGCAAACTGCAAACTGAGCAAACTGCATGTGTTTAAAAAGACTGAGATGTGGTTGAAAACTCTTGAAAAGCTCTCTTCTTGTTCTCTTGGGTCCTCTTGATGCTGTCAGTGATATTCAGCATCAACAGTTTAAGTAGAGGCAGTGTGTGAGAGTGTGTGTGTGTATTAGGTTCTATGGTTCTATTTTTTCTGAACAGAACAGGGTTTGTTTCCAGACAGATATAAAATGACCACAAAGAGATGCAAATCAAGCGCAAAGAGATGCAAAAAAGTACAAACAGACTCAAAACAACCAATAAGAGATGCAAAACGAGCACAAAGAGACTCAAATAACCAATAAGGGACGCAAAATGATCAGAAAAAGATGCAAAACGAGCACAAAAAGTGTCTTAACATCCACAGAGACTCAAAACATTTAACGAGATGAAAAAAAGAGCACACAGAGACTCAAATAACCAATAAGGGACGCAAAATGATCAGAAAAAGATGCAAAACGAGCACAAAAAGTGTCTTAACATCCACAGAGACTCAAAACAATTAACAAGAGATGGAAAAAGAGCACACAGAGACTCAAATAACCAATAAGGGATGCAAAATGATCAAACAAAGATGCAAAACGAGCACAAAAAGTGTCTTAACATCCATAGACACTCAAAACAATTAACAAGAGATGAAAAAAGAGCAAACAGAGACTCAAATAACCAATAAGGGACGCAAAATTATCAAAAAAAGATGCAAAACGAGCACAAACAGTGTGTTAACATCTACAGAGACTCAAAACAATTTACAAGAGATGAAAAAAGAGCACACAGAGATTCAAATAACCAATAAGGGATGCAAAATGATCAAAAAAAGATGCAAAACGAGCACAAAAAGTGTGTTAACATCCACTGAGACTCAAAACAACTAATAAGATATGCAAAACGAGCACAAAGAGCAAAAAAACAATAAAAGACACAAACCAACAACACAGAGACTCAAAAAAACTAAGAAGAGACACAAAATGACCTCCATTATAGTAATGTTCTGGTTTAAACAACCAGTTCTTCTTAAGGGTTTTAATTTCGGAAAGTCATTGTAAAAGGTTACTTTATTGCAGGATAGGAAAGTACGAGCATGTCGTAATGTCCTGAAAACCTATGACGTGTGGACGTTTCACACATGTAGTGACAGTATATGTATGTGCATGTGTGGTGGTGGTGGTGGGGGTATTCAATAATGTGTGGATAACATACAGCGCCACAGGGGATACCGTCTACAGTAACACTCACTTTTAGTCAATGACATAACCTTAACGTTTGTGATCTGCTGGACCCTCATGTGGCTAATAAATCATGTTGAGCAGTAAAACACAGAAAGTTATATTAAATTATTTGGTTTCAGCCAAATTGTCCCAGAAATTGACCTTAAGAACTAAACATTTGTGTTTCCACTGCATCTCAGGATCAGTGAAGATCTGACAAACAATGGATTTAAAAAGTGACACATTTGTTGGAGATATAGTTTTTTCACACAATGAGACAACAACACACAGTCACCTTGTTGTTCTTTTAAATTTGCTGCTGGCGACAGTGTGACAGTGTGTGTTAGACGGGAGGTTGGAAAGGAGACATGCAGCGCTGGAAAGGGAAATTGAAAATACCAAGAGATGAAGACCTGTTTTCTTCTGGAAAAGGCTGAATTGGTGTCTGAACACCTGGCTTACCTACAGGATAAGAAACGGTAGGCTAGTTTGCAAGGCTACTGAATTGTAACCTGTATTTTCCTCCATTTATCATTTGCCCACCACATTCTGGCCCACCTTTCCACTGTAACCACCTCCTTACTCTGACTTTTCTGTTATTTATTACACCTACTTTTAGCGTTCAAAAATGACGCTATAGGGCTTCCCTCAGTGAACGGGTGCTAACTGAAACCGAGGGGTCTTGACCATGCATCCATGTGTGACGACTTGGGAGTGGGAACTGGTTGTAATCTGTCACTTTTCAGTAACACACATCTAGCAAAGACATGTTAATCCTTAGATGTGTTCCTCCATGTTGCAGAGAGCTGCATTTGACAGAAGATTTGAGATGTGTTTGTAAAGCCTCTAAAAACATCACTACTGCAGATAAACACACAACATTTATCTGATGGCTTGCAGTGTGTTTAGCAGTAATTCCCTCCATGTGTGAAGTCTACAGTATGCGAGCCTGGAAAGCAGTGATCTGCTTCGGTGTTAGTCAGTGTGGTGACTCACTCTGAGGTTCAGTCACTTCTCGTTGGAAACAAGATGAATTCTGTCTTTGTTCGCTCGCTCTGCAGGGGTTTCTCTGTTTTTCTGGCTTTTGCTTTATGAACTGAAGCTGTTGCCAAAGCGTTTGCAATTAAACTCCACAGAAACACACACACAGACAGTGTCAATGTCCTTATGAATGTGATAGATGTCCTCTTTCTCACATAGACAAGTCCTGAGTTTGTGAATGTGAGCTTGTTTTTCTCTCATTTACACAAATAAGAATGGTGTTGTTATGAATGTGAATTCTCTCTCTCTCTCTCTCTCTCTTCTACACCAAAAATCTGACCAACATTCAGTCCAAAGCCACAATCTTTTACATGTGAAATAGTTTGTATTTATTGATTTACCTGTTTTATGATAACATTTTATCCAGTTTGTTTTGTTTTTATAAAGCTTTAATTGGCTCATTTCAATATTTGACCAGTAAAAGTACTACACATATGATACTGCAGGAGTCAGGGTGGGGATGTCATTGTTATGGGAATGTGACAGGATTTGGACCTGATGGAAACGGGATGAAACATCTGGATCGTACCGGTATTGATAGTATTGTGACTGGGGTGGGAGAAAGTTGGCAGGGTATTAGTATGAGATTGCAATAAGAATGGAACAGGATTTGGATCGAAATGGGAGTTGAACAGAAAGCGACAGAATCAGGACAGGATAAGGATGGTACTGGGACTGGATTGAGATGGGTTCAGGATGGGATTGGGAGAGTATCAGGATAGTATCTGAACAGGATCGAGATGAGATTGGGGATTGGAGGTTGGATCAGAGGAGGGCTGGGAGAGAATTGGGATGGGTTTGCGACAGAATTGAGATGGGACTGGGATGGGATCAAGATTAGATTCAGAGAGGGGATCAGGAGAGCACCTGAAAAGTATTGCGGCAGGATATGGGATTGGACTGGGATCAGGACAGGATTAGGGTTGGATCAGAGGGGGGCTGGGAGAGAATTGGGATGGGTTTGCGACAGAATTGAGATGTGACTGGGCCTGAACCAGGATAAGATTCGGAGATGATCAGGATTATAGGAACAGAAGTGGGATTGGGGGATTGCGATGGGAGCATGGTGGGACAGGAAACTGAGTTGGGATGGGATCAGGATGGTTTTGGGATCGAACTGAGGCTTGGATTGGGGCAGGTTCTGTACGGGATCTGGGTTTGGGATCAAAATGGGATTGGAAAAGAACCTGGTCAAGATAAAAAGTAGGACTGAATCATAAAGGGATCATGACTGGATATAAATGGGATCCGTACGGGATCATAGCAGGGTAAGGACATTTTTGGGGAACGGATTGGCATGGGTTCTAGATGGGGTTTGGTTGGGATCAGGACTGAATCAGGACAAGATTGGGCGAGGATGGGGGTGGGTGGGATCGTAACAGGTTTAAAATGGGATTGGGGGGAAGGAAGGAACGAAACGGGGGTTGGGATGGGATTACAGATTACAACAGAATCTGTTGTGGGAGGCAACAGAGGTCCTGAAGGGTACCATGACTGGCCAGAATATTCAGTCCTCTGTAACGCTTTAGTCCCTTAAAACATGAAATCAGCATTTTCAAATTTACTCGCTCTGAAGTACAAATTAGTAAACGGTGGGAAACACCTGCTTAGTGTGAATGTAGGAAAAGCAAAAATAGATTTAAAAAAAGGCAAATGTATGCACGTTAGCATGGACATTTCCTCAGTCACACATTCACACACACATATTCACGGTGTGACGTGTCCGTAGCTCTGTTCAGTTTCACTAATCATCTCATTTCAGGTGAAAATCACCTCATTTCCACACAGTGAGACTTTTACACCTGAATGCAACACACACATACCTAAAACCTGAGAGCCAGGAGGCACACGGCGTGACACCATGTGACGCACACAGGTTGTTGATTAAATTGTTTATTAGCAGGTTGGTGTATATTGTGTAAAGGAATATAAGGTACAGAAGGTCACCTCGACACCTGTTCACACACCAAACCTGCATGACATCGCTCGCAACATGCAGCACTTAACACTTTTAATAGCAACAAATGAACTGATTTACAAGAGAAGGTGTGTGTATACATATACACACAGAAAAATGTTCTTTGTAAGTGTTCTTAAAGGATTCCAGAAACTGTTTCAAATCAAAATTTAAAATCTACGTTCCACTTAAAAACATACTACCGCATGTGTGGTCACATGACTCCACCCAGTCCAGTCCTGCTCAGCTTCTAGACCGGAGTCTGAAGCTCAGGAAGATGTTCGCTAGCGCTAACCACCTTCACTTTCCAGCAGTTCAGGAAACAACAGACAGACTTTTATTAACGGACACACTGTGACCTACACTGTACATTTACTGC